GACGAAGGCTGCCCCTATGAAGCAGGCATTAGTTTCGGCCGTCAGCGTGCATCAGCTCCCCGCCGACGCGGTCAGAAAACGATCGCCGCCGGCCACCGAGGCGCCGAAAACAATTTCAGCTTGGGTCCACTGGCGGGCAGGTGCGGCCCGTGGGCCGTTTCCGTCGCCTCCGTCGGCCGTTACGCGGGAACGACGTGAGGGGTGAGCTCAGGGGCTTCTCCCGCCGATACGGCCACCGTCCAACGACCAGCCTGTCGTCGAGGGGCCGGCGGTGCAGACGCCGGTGGACTGCCGCTTTCCGCGAGGGGGCGGCTCCGGCACCGCTGGACCCGTGAGGGGGCCGAGCCGGGCGGGACGGTCCCGACCGTAAGCGGCGACGGTGTCTGACAGGTGGGGCTCTCGCACCGCACCTAATTAACGCTTGATACTTATGGTGGGTCGAAATAATGCCGATGGTGTTGCAAAATGTCTGTCGCGGCACTAGACAGCTCGCCTACTCATGAACTAACGTAAAGAGATAAAGACCGGTACCAGGGATGAATTTCGCGCGAAGGCGAGCAAAAGCTCTCCGCCTCCGAAGTAGATCGGCCATGCGTGGTCAGCCCGACATTTTCAACGATTGGCGTATATATATATATATATATATATATATATATATATTTGACACTACCTTGGATAGATTTCATGCCAAATGGTTTATTTTATTTGAAGTAAAATGTTGACGAGTTTGAGTCAGGCCGGAGCGACGATATCCAGCGCAAAAAGTGTACTAGTACTGTGAAAGATTATGTTGTGTTGAAATACTATATTGGATATATTGTGACAAAAGGAAGTTTGATTTTTCGACATAACTTCGCAGACAATGAAATTAAATCGGTACCACTTCGCTTCCAATACCCACTGACAGCTAAATCATTGCGGAAACAGGCTGCACTACATCAAACAAACACGACATTGACATGTCTGGAATGCCCATCAATTACAGACTCCAATTACTGGGTGCTCTGAAAACGATCATGCAACCTCCGCAGTCCGCATTCAAGGCGATCGCGGCAACAAGGAAATCGAGCTTCAACGGCCACACCGTCACGCACTGGGCCCGCATGCACGAGCTGCAATCAACAGCTGAGCGCGTGCACTGCACCAGTTCGGCAGTCAGCCTCATCAGCGCGATGGCTGGCGTATGCTCGCATGCCGGCTGCCGGAGCGCGGCTGACACCGTAGTCAGCCGTCGGCCACGACACGAATACAAACACCAAAATAGCCCCGGAGCGACCATCGCAGCACGTGCCACGCCCGGCCCGACGCGTCCGCCCAAAAACACGCGGCGTGGCCGTAACTTCCGTCGGGGGGCCCCGGTCGTTCGGCACAGATTAACCGGGCTGCGCGGCCGCCTACAAAAACACCTGCTCAGCCCAGGGCGCATCCAACACAAACTCATCTGCGCCGGCAAATCACTCGGCAGCGGCGCCGGTCGAAAACAGCGCGCCACGCCGCCAGTGCCGGCCGTCCCTCCGCCGGCGCGTCGGGGGGTGACGGCTTGTCAGGGGCCGGTGTCGGGGCCGACGGCAGGTCACAGTGGCCACGCCACGAATGAATCCGGCCAGTGAGCCACGCCCGGGCGTCCCAGCCTCGATCAGCAAAGGTCAAAGTCGCGGTCGGCAGCAGGCGGAAGTGAGCCTTGGCGGCGGCGTGCCGCTCTCGGTGGCGGAAGCAGGAACGCGGCTGGGCTGAAAGGCGCAGCAAACTGGAATGCGAGATCACCCGCTCGCCAGGCACGCCATCGAACCTGGGCGTTTTTACCGTTCAGCATCCGGCCCCGGGCAGCGGGAACGTCCCACTCCCGCTGTGCCCGGCGTGCGCCGCGGGGACGCGTCTACCTCCCCCGGGCGTACTGTCAGTGGGGTGACGGACGGGTCGGCCCAGGGCCAAACCCTGCCCCAATGGAGCGCACGGCCAGCGCGGCGCGGCACCCGACGGATGATTGTAATCCGACGTCAGGTCGCCCCGGGGCACGGAACGGGCCGAGAACGGGCCGGCGTCGGCGCCGATGGGCCGACGGGCCCCCGGTGCCGCCGGCCCTGACGGGGAGAGATCGTCGCCGCTGACGAGAGTACGGCTCCGAGCAAGACGGGGGAGAGGCGGGCCGACCGGCCGACCGGCGAGCCGACCGAAGATCGGCGGCGCTGAATCCGAGTGCGCAGACCGCAGATTGCAGACCCGCAGACCGCAGATTGCAGACCCGCGCAGACTGCAGACTGCAAACCCATACAGACTGCAGACTGCAGACCCACGCAGACTGCAGGTTAAAGACTCGCAAATTCGCTGCAGACGCTCGCTGCTGCGAAATGGAGTTCCGGAATCGAGCCACTTGGGAAGCAGTGTCGCGCGTCCTATCCGTCGGAAGTATCCGAGTGGATAGGAAAGACCGCCCATAGCCCGTGACGTTGGAAAGCGCATTCGAACGTACAGTAGACGACTATGACGTTGCGTCACGGCGGGGCGCGCCGTATCCGTGCACGTGGCACGTCGTCACCGCCGGCGCGCCGTCATCGTTACCTTCACTGGGGGCGGAGCGGAGCCGCACGAGCGGAAATTGAGAGGTTTTCAGAACGATCCGCCCTGTCAGCGCTTCCTGCGCCTGACACTCGTTCGTCTGCTGGCACGGCTCGCCATTCATCGTCCGGTGACTGGCGGAAGGGGAGACGAGATGAGACGAGACGCCTCGCCCAGCCCGGCCCGGCCGCGCCGCCTCCTGCGGATCGGTACGGCGCGGCGACACAGCCGGCAGCCGCCACGCCCCACCGGCCGCCTTCGGCCATCGATCCAGAGAAGAACGGAGGAACCTCCGCTGACAACACCGCGCATTCTCTCCGGCTGTGTGCCCATTAGAGGCGCGCACGGGAGGCGGCGTGCGCTCCCGGGGGTCCGCCGTCACCGCCGCACGCGACCGCGTGCACGCGCACGCGCGCGCACGCACGCCGAGACGGCTTGACGGCGAGCACGCCTGTCACGCGTCGCTGCAGGGCTGTTGGTTAGCTCGCCGCCCACGGAGTCGCCGGGCCGTGCGGCCGCACGTCGCTGCAGCACCTTGCAAGCCGTGCGTCCCGGGCGGATATCAAAACGCTCCAAACAATTACACAACGCAATCGCTCGCAGTAACGAGACGACGCCGGTCGTAACACCACGACAATCAGCGGCGGAGCGCGCGGCGCCCCGCCGCGTCGCGGCGCGCTCCCGCCGCCGCATTAACCCGTCCTGCATCTGTCCGCTGCCGCCGCGCCGCAATGCCCGCCGCCGCCGCCGCCGCCGCCGCCGCCGCAGTGCGCTCGCACCGGCCGGATGGCCCGTCGGTGACGTCACCGAGCAGGCGGCGGCCGTCAGCGGGCCTCCGAGCGCCGGACGGAACCGTCGGCCGTCGGAGGCATCAGCGCCGGCGGACGCCAAATGGACGAGAGGAGGCCGGACGCGGCCACGCCCTCACCATCATCCAGAGAGGGGCGCTCGGGGACGGGGTTGGGACAGTAGGGACGCGGCGGGACGATGAGACACATCGGGGCGCTGTGACACCGCGAGAGACGGTTGGAAAGGGTTGGATGTGGTGGGACCTAACGGGACATGTCAGGTCGCAGCAGGGTACGCTGGGACGCTGAGGGATATATGGGACATGAACGAACGCACAGGCGGCTCCCCGAGTCCCACGGACGAACACTGGAAGGGCAGGCGCGGTGACAATGCAGACCTCCAATGGCTACCCATTCCAACCCAAACGGCCGGCCGCCCCACTCCGCGGCCACAAAGCGCGGGACTTCGCGACCGCCGCCGCCGGAAAATCGTCACCTTTCTGCCGGCGCGGCCGCGCCGCCCGCCTTTCGAGCCGGCCGCCGCGGGTCGGCCGGAGATGTATGGGGCGCGCCGGGGGACAAAGCGGCCCGGCCGACCGGCCGACGCGCCGCCCATTCTGGGGCCGGCCTCATGGGCCGCGCCGCGGCCGCCGGTGCATAGCAATGGCCCCGGCCGGCGCCGCGGTAGAGGTGACGTGGTCTGTTAGACGGCTCGCGCAGAGGGCGGCTGAGGGACGGATGGGCCGCGTCGCAACGGCGCCGGGGCAAGTCGGCGCACCCCGCCCAGCTCTGCCCCTCCAAGCGGACGGTCACGGCTGCCTTGTCGTGACACCGTCACCGCAGACTGGCCGGCGACACATCGGTATCGTCCCGTGACCGCCGGCCCTGACAGCCGCGGTCCGGGCGCGCCCGCGAGCTAGCGTGTCATGACACCGGCACGTGGCCTGACGCCGTGACAGTGCGCTCCGGACGCGCCCGCGAGCTAGCGTGTCATGACACCGGCACGTGACCTGCCACCGTGACAGTGCGCTCCGAGCGCGCCCCCGCCGCCCGCCGAGCCATGCTGTCGCCGCGGCTGGCCGGCGTCGGGCGTTTAACGCTCTCCGTCCGGCTGCCGTCGCCGCCCGGCCTGATGATGGCGACAGCCGGGGCAGCTCACCGCTCATCAGCGTCGCCCATCAGCGCCGCTCATCAGCGCCGCTCATCAGCGCAGTCATCAGAGCTGACTGATGAGCCCAGGCTCAGCGTCAGCCCCCAGCTGAGCTGCTCGTGAGCCTCAGCGCTAATCGGGAGGCTTTGACCAACCGTAGTCGGCTTTGGGCTAAGCGCGCGTCGATACCGCCAGCACTGGTCAGCCGGGATTAGTTTTGCCCAGCCTCGTGGCGTCCCGTTGAGCGCATACCGTTTGTCTTTTCGCAAGCCTTCGGGGGTCGTCCGGGGGCACTTCCGCCAGTGAGCTTCACAACACGATCGGCTGGTGACGACTGGTCGGTTTCGGGCCCCTCGGCTCCAAAAGGCGTTTCGCGTGCAGTCCTGCGATCACACTATACGGACACGATCGTCGCGCTGTTACGGCCAGGAAGAAGCGCGGCTGGCAGGGAGTGGACTGCCGCCTGGCGCGGCCGCGCGCTGCCGCGAACGCCGCCGCCGACTGACCTTTTTCTCCGTCATGACGTAGAGGTGCTGCCGGCGGGCGTCGAACCGCAGGTCGGCCTGGACTCGGCTGTTCTGCTGCACCGTCAGGTCGCCGTACTCCACAGCCGCCACCTTCCCGTCCGGCACCGGCTCCACCACGATCTGGAAACGGACGCGACGTCAGCTGACTGGGGCTGGCTTCAGCATCAGTTGGCACACGGAACAGTTATATCACTCACAAATATCAAGGGTAAGTTTTATTTGACGGTGCATGCTGCAGAGTGTAGATATGCGTCCGCATTAGGAAAGGTAGAACGAAGGACAACCAGGTAATATATATAGAAAGAGCGAGAAAGGCCCGCCTGCACTGGTATGACATCGGGAAATACCTGCCCAATAGAGCACGCTTCCTCATAGTGTCTGAGGTCGACAACATAGCAGCAAGGAAATTATGGCAAGTTTGAGATCCAGCCAATGTCGTCTTCACCACAGCGTGGCGTTCAGTGTGGCTGAGGCCGACAGGGCCTAAGCCGTTTGGGGACGGCATCACACGCTGTTAAGCCCCTTCTCACCGCCCTTCGCCCTCGGCTGATCATCCGCCTTACTCGGCACGAGACCATGACGTCAGCGTTTCTGAAGCTATGACGCCGAGGACAGTGGGAGCGGGAAGACCTTGACTTCGCACTGTCCTGAGCGCAAACGTCAGTGAAACGGCGGCGCACAAAACGAGCCTCGAGCTCCTGGCGTCTGACGGGGCCCCTGACGCGCTGCCGCAGTCCCAAGCTTCTAGCGCTTGTCACCGCACGAGAGACCACACATCTTCTGCGCGCCGGGCCGGCTCGAGCCTGTCGAGGCCCAGGTGAGCAGTGGCGTCCCGGCCCTCACCTGGGCCGGCTCGAGCCTGTCGAGGCCCAGGTGAGCAGCGGCGCCCGGCCCTCACCTGGGGCCGGCTCGAGCCTGTCGAGGCCCAGGTGAGCAGTGGCGTCCGGCCCTCACCTGGGGCCGGCTCGAGCCTGTCGAGGCCCAGGTGAGCAGCGGCGCCCGGCCCTCACCTGGACCGGCTCGAGCCTGGCGAAGGCCCAGGTGAGCAGCGGCGCCCGGCCCTCACCTGGGACCGGCTCGAGCCTGGCGAAGCCCAGGTGAGCAGTGGCGCCCGGCCCTCACCTGGGGTCGGCTGCACATGACGGGCACCGTCCCGAAGCTACGGCGCGCTCATCCATCAGTGGCGAACTTCACGGCCGGTCAGGCCAGGCGACAGGGCCCATCTGCTCGTGCCGCGCGCCGGGCGGCCCGCCGGCTCGTCAACAGCACGCGCGCATACATAATTCAACGACGTCACTCGTCATTTAAAACATCATCCCCCATGCCGGATCGCATGCCGGTCCCCCCACCAGCCGACCGCCAAGCGGTGTGCAACTGCAAACCGGCGTGCTATCGTGATCATCGACGCGATAATTGGAAACTTCGCGGGAATCCAGCGACGCGACACTATCGGCTTTATGCCGCCGTCGAGGAAAATCGTGACGTCACGAAGCAGCGATGTTATTACGTGGCCTCCACCGTACCGATTGGCCAGCGGTCCGATCGGTACGGCTGCGGCCGGCCGGTGAGATCAGCGCCTTGGTCCAGCACCGGCCGGGCGTGTTTATGGCTGTCCTGGAGCCCGCGGCGGGGATTAGGGCCGGCGGTAAGCATTCGGAAATCCGGGTTGTGCGCCGCAGCGAGTTTCAGGGGCTCAGAGAGCGGATCGCCCGCGCTGTTTGGAAGGCGGCAGCGGACGGATCTGTGCGCCTCGCTTAATCTGAAAAATGGGCCGCGCGGCCTGTCATGTAGCTAAAACTGTCTGGAAGGATTTGACTAGGCGACAGGTGACGCAACCCACGCCCCTTAGAAGCCAGCAGGCTCCCGACGTGAAGGCGTTCGCGTGAATTTATCATCACGGCGCTCCTAAACAAGACAGAAATGGGTTACCCCGAATACAACGGCAGGGACGACACGAGTTTCGCCGCCCGCAGCGCAGTGCGAGCAGTTAATCTGTCCCGTGGCGGCAACAGGTGCACTGTTGGTGCCCCGGCGCTGACTTTGTTCACACCTTCTTTCCAGCCCGTCAGATCCTGGCCGCGAAATCCGCCCGATGAGACCGCAATGACGCGGGCGGGAGACCCCAGCCGGCGTCTCTGGCTGCAGCACCCAGCCCACTCCGTCCCAATCCGTCCACTCCGGAGCCACTCCGACGTCATCGGGACGACGCCGCCTCGGCAGCGGCGATGCCCGTAAGCCGACGCCGGCAGGGCGCCGCGTCGGCCGCCGGCGTCGGCGCGTGTTTATTTGGACAGGGCTGCCGTGTACCGAGGCGTCCGGAGACGCGACGTCTCGGCCCGCCTGCGCCGCTCAGGTGGGTCCGAGGGCGCGGCGCCGTCCTCTGCCGCCGCGCCGCACGCCGCCGTCGGTCGCGTCGGTCGCGTCGGCCGCTGGCACACGCCTTCCACTCTGCTTCGCCTCGGCTCGGAACTAACGCGGGAGCCGCCACACATCGGACGGCGTCGGCGCCATCTGTCCAACCACCTGGGTCTCTGACTGCATTCTCGGAGAATCCTTCGCAGCTCTCCTCATGCACAAGCACGCGATCAATGCAAAACAAAATGAGGGCCCACTATTGCATACGTGCCACAGCGCGATACAAACTGGATTCACGTGCGGTGAACGGTCCAGGCCGGCCACCTCTCCTTCCCGCCATCTGGAAATAGTCGACCCGACCGTCTGCAGCGCGGCCGGCGTCCGAGACAGGCCGCCAAGCGGTGCCGTCAGCCGGAGTAAACACACGCCGCGCCCGTCAGCCAGCGCCGCACGTGCGGCACGTCTGACTACGGCGCGTGCTGGGATCGGCCGTGCTCTACGCCGCGCCCTCGGTCGGAGCGCGCTCCCCCGCCGTCGTCGGACGCACTCCAGACAGATTGGGACCCTCCCCGGCCGGCGGCGGCCGGGGAGAGCGCGCCGGCAAGGCGGGGCGTGCGCGCCCGCTCTTTACGAGCCGCCCGGTTTACAGGCGGTGTTTAAGGCGTCATTGGCGCGCGGTTAGTGTTTTCGTCCTGAGGTGACGCACTGCCGGCGGTGCCGTACCGGTCGTCGGCCAGCGAGCAGCCATGGCTCGCCGAGCAGCCCGCGCGTCGGAGCTGGGCGGCTCCCGGCCCCATTGGCGCCGATGCTGCGAACGCCAGCCGCGCGATAGGAGCCGACGCGCCGCCGGCGGCGAGCGAACGGCACGGTCGATGGTCATCGATGGCGTCGCATCGGTGTCGACGGTAGTCTGCCGCATTTCGCCGACCCGGCTAAGTGATTCGAGCCGAGGACGCCGGCGAAGTGCGGCACGTGCCCGCCTGCCGGCGGCCGCCGACTCGCGCTTTGTTGCGAGAGGCGAAAGGTGTTCAGCGGCTCTTTAAGACGGCGCCGTGACAGTTACTGGCGGGGTGCGCTTTGAATGCGAACGTGCCGTGGTCGTTAACAGGGTCCATGTCCACCGAAATGCACCGGCATTTCGTAACGTAAAATAGGACCCATCCCCGGCACGAAGGCAAGCCATTCGGCACGTGCTGCCATGGAGTGGAGCGAGCACATTATCGCCTGCCTGCGGGCGCGGGCCGAGTGGCGGAGCCGAGGTCTGGCAGTCCGGTCCCAGCTCCCGCCCATTGGCAGTCATCCCGCACACCAGCACCGCTTCAGGTGGTCAAATAGCACGTGCCGGTGGACCGAGGTGTCCGGGGCGGCCCAAACGGACCGGGCTTCCCCAGGTTGAAATGGGACACAGCGCCCACGGTTCACGCGAGCAGTGAAAATGCCGTCTGTCTATATATTTAATTTTGCTGTTAGTTGGGATGCAGCTGCACCCAGAGCGCCTCCGAAAATTAACGTCAGTTTTGTAGCGCTACAGAGCAAGAATGAGCCCCAAAAGGATTTGCATTATCAATAGCTTTTGGAAAGCTTTGCCCCAGCTTCTATCGATATGGCCGGGGCCTAGGCGCATTCCTACGCCACTTACCAGCCCCCCTAACCCCCTCCCCCTCCTAACAAAGGCGCCTGACCGCGTCTGGCCCCGCTGAGCCGTGCGGGAAGGAGGCCCAGGAGCCAGTGAAATCATCAGAAACGACATCGCAGATTTCCAGCGGCCGGAGCCGTGACAGCTGCAATGGCGAGTGGTCAATCTGGCATCGGGCAGCAATCCGACTTTCTCCGTCATTGACCAGCCCATCGGAGTGTCACGCCCCGCGTGACGTCCGGGTGGCGGTGACCTAGCACGCGCGCCGAGGACGCCGTGCAACACAGGAGAAAAGCCGCTTCGTGCATGGCGAAGCACGGGTCGACGCGGCGTCTGAGAAACAGCGGCGCCAAACGCGGGGAAATGCGAGGCCTGGAGGTGCTGCTTCCCTGGGACGGCTTCTCCGCGGCTGCAGCGAGCGGGCGCCACCGGCCGCCGACGGAACCCGTCGAAACGGTTCGCGCGCCGGCGCCGGCGCCCGACTGACAGGTGAAGGTTCCGCGTGGGCCCGCCATTAGGTCCCGCGTGGGCTCGCCATTAGTCGCCTGGCATAACGAGGCGTGGCAGGCGGGCAGCGCGTCAACAGGCCGCCGCCGGTCCGGACGCCTGTCTCCGGAGGTTACGCGGCGCTGCCGGCCGGCGCCGCAGGACCCGCGGCCCCAGTCCGCGCCGCCCTGCCGCCCGCCGGTCCCGCCGGGCCCGCCAGGGCGGCGCCGGCAGTCGCGGTGGAGCGGACACGGCGGCGCGGCCTGCGACAGTCGCCGCTGGCCAAGCACCTGCCGCGGGCGGTGCGCGAGCGCTGCGAGACAGCCTGAGGCGGCGCGCGGACAGGCGCACGCGCGCCGGCGGCGGGACGAATGTGCGAGCTCGCGGGCGCTGGTCCGATTCCAGCGCCAACAGGCGAGTGCAATCTGTTAAACTTAACGCGCTGTGTGGCAAAATATGTGAGGCTTGGGCGGGAACTTCCCCATGCGCACTTCGCGTCCAACGACGATGCTATAAGCGTGGTGCGATGCTATCGGTCTTTGCAAGTCATTTTGTCGGTCACGACTGATCTCTCACGGAAGCCTGCATTGTGCTGTCTTTTGTATGATTAAGCGAAACATTGCGTTTTATTGCACGTTCTGCT